AGTTTGGAAAATTGTCAAAAATTGCCTGATGATGATTGAAAATCGAAACTTTGTCCACTAATATAATGGACTTTGGCCTAGAAAATACATGCAAATCCAGCTTTCCCACTTTGCAAGTCCCTGAGAAATTAAAGGTTAGATTTGTGGTTCAAAAGTGACTCTGTAACTCTGCAAGTTTCCGCGCAAATAAATTTCAACCAGCTTCAATATTCGCTTGAATAACGAGCAGCTTTAAAAAATTCATGAAAAATGCCTGATGATGACTAAAAATCGAAACTTGTGATAATTTGGGGGCCGGTCTACAAAAACAACCTCGTAAACCGACCGCGATTTGGCAACATTTTCACAGTTGCAAACTGCAAAAATGGCAATTTTGAAATATTTTTCTGGTTGTGAAAGGGAAAAAGTCGCATTACGGAGCTGGAGGGACGCCTGCCAGCAAAACATTCAACAGGCGTCGCGTCAGCGTTCGTCTGTTTGTGTGCGACAGCCACGCGATTCAAACGCTCCCCCAAAAACATCTGGAAAACGTGCCGTTTCTCCATTTCCATAAACCGGAATCGCATTAGAAGCAGAGGAGAAAAAAGGGGACCCAAAACACGTTTCCAGGCTTGTGTTCGATAAATATTTGCGTAAGTCTCCATTGCTTTCAACGCGACTTTTTCGAAGTCGGCACGGATTTCGGTAAAATATCTTAATTCGAGTGTTTCCCCTTGTGTCAGTCAGTTGGGCGATTTATTGGATTTTTTTCGATCGGCTGCTTCCAAAGGAATTGGATAATTATGTCGGCCCCCTTGGCCCTGTTCCCAATTTAATTTGAAGCTGAAGGGAGATTCTCCCCTTTAAACCCGCCTGACTGGCTAAAATTTCGGCACGTGCACTGTCTGTCTTTGCCATCAAACGATTTTTTCTTCGGTTTTCTAGAAAATGGTCGATGTGGGAACCACTTCTAGCCGCTTCGTCTGCCCGAATGATCGACAACTAGCACTGAGAGCCAAGTAAGTAAAAAAAAGTCGAGTTTTGACCTTTTACAAACTCGAGTGGCTTTAGCCGATTGCCCAATAACCCGAATACAGCCAATGAACCCAAATTGTCGCCATTATTTTCCCATTTTTGCCTTGTTCAAAACTAAAACATTTTAGCTGTGAAGGTGGCAATTTCGAACGCAGCACGGCGTTGGCCATGTTGCCTGCCGCATAGCTGCTATGTGTGCGCGTGAGACTACCGATGCCAACCACGTTCCCGAATGGGAAAATCGGTTTTTTGCTTCAGTTTGCTTCCGAGATTTTTGAAGAAGAAACGGCCGGATGGAATTCCAGTTTCAGACCAATTGACTGAGTTGCACGCATTTGTTCAATAAATATACATCAAAAACTTACCGCCACAGGGGAAAAAATCGCGCGCTCTTGCAGAGAGAACTGATTTTCGACGCTCGAAACATTGTTGTATTTGATCATCGAGTATCCGAAAGGTTGTTGCGGACTTTGGAGCGTGATCTACTGGCAAACTTGATTGTTATTGCTGTTTAAATTAACGAAAAACTATTAACAAACTTGACCTACATGCGTTCTTGATTGTCTCAAGGCGAAATGAGCTCAGCGTTCGTCGGAAGTGGACTTTCTTTGATTTATGCATTCGGAAAGCGTTTAAGGTTTTTGTTTAATTATTTTGATCGGGCTCCATTACGAGATTACAACTATTTCCCCCTTTAATGGCTTATCTCTAACATCACTAATTCCGCGCTAAATGGCTAATCACCTAATCGATATCGTTTGTAAACTCATGGCAAGCAAACAATCACTTTTGCTCTCCGCTATCGGATAAACAACGCAAATCTCACTAAACAATCCATCCGAGTCCTGTAGAGATATCGATGATTTCCATGCCAGTTTACTGGTTCTTCCTGCACTTTGTAAGGACCATGTTCCACATGGAACGGCGCTTTTCCCCCGACAACCAACCTAATAAAGCGTAGAATGGCCTCGCAAATGGAACTTTTTATTGGGATTCTTTTTGTTGCTCCACGAGGTAATTGTATTGGCGCTGGAGATGAGGGACGGATTTTATGGTGAAAAGGGCAACGGCACGATGTTGAGCCTTCGTACACCGGGATTTGCGACAAAAAGTCTCCAACTGTTGCTTGCTTTATCAAAAAGGCGCCCTTTTTACTCGGCAGTTTTTCCTTTGCGTGTTCAAAGTTTGATCTAGAATGATGCCTCCTAGATTGCCTCCGAGAAATGAGCAAAAACGAGTCGGA